TCCCTGTGAACAGACCTGTGGGAGAAATAAGAAAGAGCCTGGCGAAAGTTCGTTCATGCCTCACTGAAGCGTTTCACGCATTTCGGTGGAATTCTGTTGCTGAGAAGGTACGTGAGGAAAATCGGAAACCGACTTTCTTCTTCCCGCTGTGAACTTTACCGGTGTATTTTCCCCGATAATGCGAGTATGATTTTCCCTTGATTGCAATTTCAAAATTTGCATTCTTTCTTGCGATGACAACTTCATATAGACACATAACAGAGAGAGAAAAAAGAGGAACGAGCGGTCGGGCGTTGTTAACTAGTGATCATGTGTGTTGTGCGTGGCGGCATCTTCCGACGTGAACCTCGTTGACGCTGGAGTGACGCTGTGTTGAAAAGACACTAGGTGTCGCGCGCGTGCAACCTTCGCTCGACTCGAACCTTCTCTTCCCCGAGATCATCCGCGCGTATGATGGAAGTTTTGGACCAGTTCTTCCTATTGCCGGAGCGAGTGTTGTCCATGGACAGAGAATCGTTTCACCAGGACCTGATGAGCATTTCCAGCAACGGAGACGGTAGTGCGACATCTTCTGGGAATTCCTTGTTTGGGGACTTGCAGTTCACCTCCGCTGGGCGCGGGACTGTCATGGTTGAGCGTGAGTGGGAAATTTTTTTCTGCATTTTGTTGCTGGATTCCGTTGTGAAAAACAAAAATTTTTTTTATCTAACCTGCGGGCCGACAATAATCTTTTTGAACATCCTGTACACCCTTATTCCTGAAAGAACAAATCACAAAGCGGTCAAAGCCTGTCCGAATCACTGAACAAATTAAAACGTATTTATTTTGCCGCTGTATTTCCTTCGAGGTAATATGAAAGATTCATGCACGCGGTGACATCTCCATGAAGAAAAACGAACTAATGTCCTTTTCCTCCATCGTAGGCGTCGATTGCTTATACTGTACTGCAGGGATTTGCATTAGGCTAAGTTCGGTTTACAATTCTGGATGGATGTTGATGTTATTATGAGTTCAAGTTTCCATTCACGATGCCATGTATATTAGGCTTAATTTCTATTGAAAACTCTTGGTACAACAACATTTCAGGGACCTGAGAAAAAAAAACGGTTATAACAAAACAAGATGCATGGTTCTTTTAGCATACAAGACTGAAATTTTGTGGAAAACAGATGTAGAAATTTCATGGGAGATATGTGAAGAATTACACGAATTTCCAAATTATTTTGGTGAAATAATGTATAAAACTCAAAATGTTAAATGAAATTATCTTATTTCAGACCTTCCCTTTCTTAAATGTTCTGAAAATATACTATTTTTGAAGTATGAGCTGAAAGAAACAGAAAATCGGTGTATAATAAGAGAATTTATTTATTAAGAACTGCATTCGTTTATAAAATAAATGGTTATATATAATTTATAAAACGTAGCTAAATACATTTTGATTTTAGCTTCATACTTCCTTCAATGCTGAATTTTCTGCGCCGAATGAGTCTTATTTTTATTTCTGGGGGTTTTTCAGTTATGCACAAGTTCGGTTTTTCCCATCTTTTGATAATTAGAAAAATTGTTATGCCCATGCACACATAATCGAGACAAAACTGATGAGATCATCGAGAAAAATTTGTTCGTTTCAAGTCGAACAGTGCGACGACATTTTTGCAACATCAGATCTTTCGAGAAACTGCTGGGATCGAGACGAAACTTTGTTTTAATGAAATTCCTTGTAAGTGAATTTTACTGTATTAGTTTCGGTTACCGAAGTATCTTCTGTTGATTTTCTTAATGTGGTCAGGGAAATGCAGGAAGAAGGTGAGGCGCATTTCAATGTTTTATTCTAGATGTCGCTGCCGGGCAAGTTCTGACAAAGCTGGATATTTTTTCCTGGCTTCCACAGTCGTAAAATTCTTGAAGTGAAATGACAAGCAGCTGGAAAATAGAAAAAGAAGCGATTATTTTTTTTGGTCTCTTTCATCGCTGAATTTCACAAAACTTTCCGACAGCTCTAAAATGTATCGGCAAAATATGTAACCCTCGTCTTAGATTTTATTTTAGTGTTATTCTTGTTAGGGAATCAAACAGTTGACTTCGCGGTGTTGAGTGTATAATAATCATTTTAAAGTTGTAAATGATCATTCTTCATTGAGTAATAAGCACCTTTGCTTCACATGTTTTCTTCCCTTATCCTCATTGCTATTGCCCCTTAGATTCAGAGAGCGACCCTTATACAATTTCAAAATATTCGTCATGCAATTTCAAACCCATCTTCATTAAAATGGCTCAGAAGTGAACCATTTTCTGGGCTTAAAAAAAATGCAGTCGCTTCCATATTTTCCTCGAATGATGAAAAATGACGTCACTCAATACTGCGTAATTACAGCTCGGGATTAAAAATTTTACCTGGTAGGAAATGAATCAGCACAGTCGGGGTAATAATCGACCGTGAACTGCAGTTTCAATGCGGCTCATATATACCTTCTGCCACGTACAGGAGCCAGGGGGAACAACAACAAGGCAAGGGCTGCTAATTGCGTGTCGATAATTACATTTAGGGTAGAATTCTAACCTGGTCTGGTCTGTGCCTACCTTTATATACGACAGGGGAGAACGCTCTGAAATAGTCTGAATTATAGTTCGAAAACCAGACGGAAAGGAAATGAGATTGATCAGCGTTCGTTGAACTCCTGCGCGATATTTTATCGGTGAATTTCGGGAAAGAATTCCTTGGTTTTGGAGGGACATTTTTTGATAGTTTTATGCATTTTTTACGGTTTTTAGTTCGCAAGCAAATTTTTTTTTGTCATTATAAATTAGACTGGGTTCATTTTTTCTCTTCGCAGCGGAAAAATTGATCAACGTTTACTGATTTTTGCACACAATGTGCAGTGATTCTGTCGAACGTTGAAGAAAGAATGCGTTTCGGATTATTATTTTTTTTTTGAAACGTATATAGAAAAGTAAAACTAGCTGCTTATCATTTTTTTGACCTCCAAAAATTAAAAATCGATACAGTAATTTCTTTACCTCGGTTCTTTTTTTTCTCTATGCTTCTGAGGAATTCGTGAGGGATTCGAATTTTCTGGGTAATTTCGTGGTTTAAAGCCCAGAATTGGAAATTGGCTCCGTTTTTAGACCCCTGTAGATTTTTTTTATTTGCTTCTTTTAAAACAAGACAATAAATAAATCTACAAGAGTCTAAAAACGTAGCCAATCGATCAACAAATTTTGAGGATTGTTTCAAGTAAACCAACGATTGAAAAATGAATAATAACAAGCTGGTTTCGTGATTTTTCCACTTGCCGAATGCAATCATGGATTGGGTTTGAGTTCTTGAAAATTGTTTCCAGGACAATTTTTCGTTTCTTTGTTGTATACCGTATTTAGAATTTGTGAGAGTTTTTTTTTTAGATTTTCTTTACTTTTCCATAATGTTGTGAAAGTTCTAGAGTATTATTCAGGTTGTCTCGTCGTTCCAACTCAGGGGAGTAAAATAATCTATCAACATTCCGGAGGTGTTTCTTCTGCTGCTTTCAATTTTAATCAACTTTTTAATGCTTTTTTTGGTCAACACACGTGTTTCATTGACACGGAAAAAAATTATGCATTTCTTCCCCGTTTTGTTTTGCTGTAATGTTGGGGATCTTATCTTGAGGTGAATTTTTTTCTATATCCAAAGAGAAAGATATATATTTTATCATGATCGGACAAATTTTTCACAACTTTCTTTCTGGTCAATTTTCTTATAAGAAGAATTGAATAAATCACTTATTGATCGAATTCTTTTTGAATTCCCCAGAACTTCATTTGTGAGAAGTGGAAAAAAATACAACGGGTCAAGAGTTTTTTTTTCTGTATTGTATGTTATCCGCTGACTTTTTCATTTTAAATAATTTTATATTATATATATATATATTTTTTTTTTTTATCTACCAGAGGCTTTCGAGCTGATTAACATTCCGTGTATGACTTATTTCTCAATCGAAGTCAGTCAACTGTCGGGAACCCCGTTCTTTCCTGTTTGTTATGTAAGTTGCGTATCGTGTTTGACACTGGCATCTTATTGAAGCGGTTCTTTAATAAGGCAGTCGTCGCATTGCTGCCTCCGGTTGGTGTTCGTTTCTATAGAAATAATTGGACGAGGCAGAAAGCAGGACAAGAGACAGAAATACTGCATGCATGCATTGTACGGTACTAAACACTGAAAAAAAATAAACGAGTCTCTAAGCTTGTGGACTATCCTTCTTATAAAAGCATTATTATAGTTCCCAAAAGTTCCTGCGAAAAATACTGAATAAATAAAAGAGCCAGCACCCACAATCTTTCTTTGCAACTAGAATATTCAGTCAACCTGAAAGTTTTCTTGCAAGTTCCTCTTCTTCTTCTTCTGGTGAGGAAGAGACAGTGAGAGAGGGAGGGAGTGTGCGTGGATTGGAGGAAAGAGAGAGAGAGAAGATGGAGGGTTGGAGCAGAGAGAGAGGGAGGTTTGGAGCAGAGAGAGAGAGGGAGGTTTGGAGCAGAGAGAGAGAGGGATGTAGGGAGCAGAGAGAGAGAGGGAGGGTTGAAGGAAAAATAGAGAGGGAGAATTGGAGGATAAATAGAGAGAGAGAGAGGCTTGGAGGATAGAGAGGGTTGGAAAAGAGAGAGGCCAAGGGATTAATCAGGCAAGAGGAGGAAGAACACCAGTTTAAAAAAAAGAACTCAAAAGAGGAATCAAGTGTGAAATATAAAAGAAGAAACAACAATACAATAACATGAAATAAGAGAGCATGCATCAGCATGAAATGGAGTCAGCCCATTCAACAGTGGTGCCAGTGTATAATATACAGTACTGTACCATACTGAAACTGTTTTGCAGTTTGTCCCAGTCCATGTGGCATGGCATGGGGATACAGACAATTCCAGACAGGCAAATCTGAGACTAGACAAATTCGAGACAAGGTCATTTAGATGCCATGCTGAAAGCACATGGGCATGATATGGAGCCCCAGCAGCAGCATCAGCCAAAAGCATCTGTTGCACTGTGTATAGGATATACAGTGACACCCCAACATGCGGACGCCTCAACATGGGGACGCCTCAGCATGGGGACAATTTGACATGGGGACATTTATTTTTTAACAAAAAATCATATAAAAGACCCAACATGAGGACACTGACACAACCTGGGGACATTGCAGGATAAAATTCCAAAATAAATTTTAGGAAAATCAATTTTTATAAGGCTTAATTGCAAGAAACAGATGTTTCCAACCAAAGATCTATGCAAGAAAAATTCTTTGGTACTTTTCCCATCATTTTCCCATCCATTCAGCTAATTTAAAAAAATGCCCTATAGCACAGAGGGACTTCCTTCTAGCTCTCTTTGTGACATGGATGTTATTTTTTCAGATGCCAACTTTTCAATTTACTGTACAGACCTAAGATCTATGCAAGAAAAATTCTTTGGTACTTTTCCCATCATTTTCCCATCCATTCAGCTAATTTAAAAAAATGCCGTATAGCACAGCAGGACTTCCTTCTAGCTCTCTTTGTGACATGGATGTTATTTTTCCAGATGCCAACTTTTCAATTTACTGTACAGAGGTGCACTATTCAATGTTCCAAATGTTCTTATTGGTTTGAAAAGATATTCATTGAATCAAATTCAAGTGGCAAAATTTTTTTTCATGAAATTCTGAAGAATATTTCTTCCATAAAACACCAATTAAAAATTATACAATGTGAGTCTACGGGAAAACAAGATTCAACTTGCAAACAATCTGGGGACAATGTCCGCATCTGGGGGTCTCACTGTATTGCCTGGTTCATGTGAGTTCTTCTTTTCAGCCTTCAAATACTGCTTTCAAAATGTCAGTGAGAGCTGTTTGAATTTTATGAGTACAACTAGGAAGCAAAATGAATGTTTGGGGAAGGAACATAAGTCGGATAACTGTTTTAGATGAAGCTCTTCAGCAGCACATTTTTGCTTTTCACAACATTCAAAATTTCAAGTAGTGTCTGGCACTGGAGAATACTTGAGAATGTTTCTTGCATCACCAGGCAACTCCTTCTTGAACAGAGCCAAGAGTGCTAGCAGATCTTTGCAGCTGGATTCTTTCCTGCTTGCTCAAATTTTGAAGAACTACAGAATTTACTCCATTCTCTCCCAGGACACAGGGTAAAGACAGGAAAACATCCTGTTCAATGCCATGATAACCCTATAAACAAAAATAAATTCATCAGGATACAGTACAGTCAACATTTCAATGAGAGTTCACTAACCTTAACATAAGTAGACACTGCATAAACACAATGTTGGTTTTTCAAAATTGCATTGCAGAGCACTGATACACTGATTCCAATTGCCCATGAGGTGTATCCTTTCAGTTTGATGATGTTGTAAGCACTGTAAAAAAAAACCATTGTATTTCTGGGTATTGAAATCCTGCACATTTCACACGGAATAAAGTCACCTTTCCACAACTTCCTTGTGAATCCTTATCCAATCTTCAGGATCATTTTCCATGCCAATGTCTGAGTTGAGATCTGCCAAGCGTACTCCAGCCACATTCACACCAGACCAAACAGGCACTATAAGATGCAAAGATAATTATGATCAAAAATTGTAGTTGAAGGGAACAATGTTCAAGGGCATTCACCACTGGAGTCACCATGTTCTCCTATGATCCAACCATGACATGAACTGGGAGCAATGTTTAATTTTTCACTCATTAGGAACCTGAACCTTGATGAGTCCAAATTTGTTCCAGATCCTATGACCTTGTATTTTGGCAGTCCACTAAGTTTCCAGGCAGCATAAGTAAGTACATCAACTGCAGAGAAATCCATTCAAGCATCTCTTTACATATACTGTATTCACACTTTCATGAATATAATCAAATCATTGTGTCACCTGGGTTAGAAACTACTATCAGGATGGTGTCTGGGGAATACTCAATCAATTTTGGGATTATGCACTTGAAAATGTTGACATTCCTTTGCACCAAATCCAGTCTTGACTCTCCCTCAATTTGTCTGGCACCAGCTGTGAGGATACAGATTTTGGATCCAGCTGTTATTGAATAATCTGAAACAAATTTCCCAAAAATCAGCATTAAAGTTTGATATGAGCAGGAATAAATTGATGAATAAAACAGCCTGGGAACAACTGGCACAGATGTGCATGAGTTAAAAGTAAGCAAAAAGTACTCAGTTACACACTGAAGATTGTATGTTGATTCTGAAAAATGTTTAGAGGCTTATAAAGAAAAAGCTTAATTGCCACTTCAGTATGTCATGCCCCAAAACCCAGCCAGTTTTATTCAGGCTTTTGAAATTTTTTTTATGAAGCAAAACTTGCTTTGATTATCACTTACCAGTGGATGCTTGTACTCTGACATTGGACAAGAAAGTAAGGCCATGTTGCAGATCCATCATCTCTCCTGTCAGTTTGTCTTGTGCCACATCAACCAGGGCAATTTCTGAAGCCACATGCTGCAAAAAAATAATGGACCTTCTGGGTTAAAGTGTCTTTAAATCATTAAAATGCAGAACCAAAACAATTGTTTTTTATTACACTTGAACTTACATATGGCTCAAGATATAAAATCAATAAGTTAAGATACATCTAAGTAAAATGGTGAAAATTGTTGAAGAATAAAAAAACAAACCTGTGTCAAGATGGAAAATGCACAAGCCATTCCCACTTGTCCAACCCCAACAATGGTGACCTTGCTCCCTGATGTTGGAACAGGGTCATTGACAAGTTTCAGCAACTTTTCTTTGATTTCTTCACCCATCTCTCTATTTTTTCACTCATATAAAACAAACACCTAGAATCATGTTGAAGAAAAACCATTGGAAAATCGATTCATTTCTGTGATGATACACTTATTGAAATACAACATTTTGAAAGCAAACTGAATGAAACAGAAATGTGGGTTTCAAAGAGCAACGCTCTGAAAAATTTCAACAGGTGATCTGAACATTTCTTTCACTCAAAATAAGACACACCTGCATGCACCAGAATGTGGGACTGGGAATTAACCAGCTGTTACCATGGGGGAAGCAGCAAGTAGGTGGGTTGACCTTGTGGGCTACCACAGTACATTTGTGCACCAGAGCATGGGAGCCACTTTGGCAGGGGAGTTCTCAAAGACAGAAAGGCTGCATTTATCTAGAGAGCATCTGGAAAGCGCAGACTTGCCCCAGACAGGAGGAGGACAGAACCTTTTATACTCATCCCAGCAGTAAAGAAAACTGCGCGCGCATCCCCCTGACTTCAAAACCCCTCCCTCTGCATTAGTGTACCCCTTTTTTTCGCAGGAAATGGCACAGGGATATTCACAAAGTAACATCACATTCTTTCAACAAATTTAATTCTCATTTCAAGTCATTCTGAGCGCAAAAAAATCTCTCTGACGTAAGGAATACTTTTCCAACTATATAATCACTATAATAAATTTGGAAATGGCACATAGGAATAATCACAAAGCCATATCTCATTCTTTCAAGAAATAAAATCGCATTTGCAGACACTCAAGTGAACACAAATTTGCCTGTTTTCCCAACTAATCAGATCCAAATTAATTAAGTTCTCCAAAATTAGTCCAAATGTGTACTCAATATGATCAAAGTATGTCCACATTAGTCCAAACACTTGAATGTTTTCATTAGATGAGTGTGGACTGATGTCTGTACACACCTTATGAATTGCTGAATTTTTGGAGGACAGTCCACACATATTCAAAAGATTTCACAGGAATGTTCACAAAGTCATATCACATTCTTTCAACAATTAAAATAAAATGTGCAGTCATCCTAAATATTTCATATCTCCCTTCTCTGACAAACCATGCTTTTCCATTAATATCATCACTATTAATTTGCACCAGCAGTGGAGCATCTTGGAATAATCAGTTTGACAGCCATTATTTAGGTTAAGTGCTTCACCTTTAATGCACTCATTTGCAGATAATAAACATCTTTTTGATATTGAATGAATCTTATTACATTCATTAAATAAATTGTGTGAAAAAACCTTACAGATATAGAGCTTTGGAAATCCTATCAAAGAATTTCTCAAATAACAAAAGTATTGTACTGTATTTCAGATAAAGTTCCCTTATCACCATAAAATATAATGAAAATGTATGCCAAAGTGTTCTGAACAAACCGTTTTATGATACCATTCACTCAGAATAGAATAATTCATAAGAAAATGAATCAATTGAAATGATCAAATTGTATCATTTTTTCTGATGTTGCAGAAAGCATAAGCTTGTTATTAGAGTTTGAAGGTAAATGGCTTAAAACGTAGTGTAATTTGGGTAGGATACTATATGGTGATTCTGCTGTATCACATTTTTGCCGGAAGTTTCTGGAACTTGAACCACGTGTTCCCTCGGGTTGGGATCAATGAAGTTGAATCACCCAGGCCAGACCTATTCTCGTGCAATGCCAGGGTAAACCATTGCGTCATCCCTCCTAGCTGACAGTCAAACCAAGGATAACTGGAATGTGTCCTCGAGGAAAAAAAATATCTCACACACAGATTATAAAAAAAACGAATGCATCAAAAGAATTGGAGTCAACATTTGAGTTTTTGAAGAGCTTTTTTATTTTTCTTCAGCTTTATTGAAACAAAAAAAAGGAGCCACAAACAAAACAATAAGTCAAACAAAAACGCAATGGTTCAACTGACTAGAATTCCACCGTGGTACTTCTGCAATTCTTTTTTTTTCAATTCCACACGGCTTTTATGGAGATTTGCGTTTAATATTTTATTTCTGTTTGAATACTGCTTATATTAACTACTGCCAATTTTTCCGGGTTAGAAGCGTCCTCTGTCGCGAAACGTTCGGAGTTCGACTGCAGGTTTGAACATTGGAGAGTATAGATGTCACTGTTTGTTCACGCATTCCCAGGGCTTCACTTGCGACCGTATCCTTTACCAGCAATGTGTCTCACGCCCCATTTGAAGTTTCCGTTGTAGTCGGTCTTGACAAAAGTGCGGACAGGTCCAACTGGAGGATATTTCCCGTAGCTGGAGGGCTTGTAGCTCTTGGAAGCATACAATGAGTCCCTTTCCTGCCTGAGACCTTGGCCTGAGGATAAATTATTTGAAAAAATTTATAATAATGCTTGCAAAAGAATAATTGAATAACGAATTTTGCAATTTTTGGTGTGTTAAAGCGGGTAGTTGAATTCTGACGCCCGTACGAGTTTTCGTTGATTTTGTTTCAGTATACACAGTTCAGGAGCAAAGACATTTTTTTTCATTAAATTTTAGTTGTTTTGTGGTGCATTTCGAAATTTTTTGAGCGGTTTAGCGAAACTTTCATTCAACAGGCTTATGAGTAATATCAGCATTTTCTTAGATTTTCATCAATTCGACGCATGTTTGAATAATTTTTGAAAATGTATTGATTGATTGTCAATTCCGTATCATCAGTTTATGCCGCTTTTTGGTAAACATGCATTGTATTTTTCACGAAAGCTACAGCTTCATTTTGCTGGAAATAACAAGCTCATTCCGAATATCCGAAAATACGGAATGGTTGAGGTATTTTTAAATCTGTGTACTCCCTGTAATACGAACAATTTAAAATTTGATGATGAATGAAGTTCATTGAAGTCAAGTGTGAAAAATATTTCACAAAAAAGGATGAACATTTCGAAAATATATCGAAGATCATTCGGCTCTTATTTTTTGGTCAAACAATAACTAAAAATAGATTAATTTTAAATAACATGAACCTGAAAGAGTTTTTTCTCAAAATTTTCTGGACAAATATTTTTCCCAATCCGTTTATTCATGCCTATATAGTTTAAAAAAAAGAGTTATTGAGTACTCGAATTATAATAATGTTATATTCTTTTTTATAATTTTCGAGAGTCGATCAAACGAAAAACGAATTCTAGAGAATCGGATTTTGAAGCAAGAAATATTAAAAAAAAATCAAGGTTAGGAAAAAAAATATTTGCCGTAGTTTACATTGCTTATGTAATTCTATGCTGTTTCACATATCTGATTCTATTTCATGGGAATTCTGAAACCCTTGTATTTGTCCCACGAATTTATTTTGTTGTGGAAATCCCATGAGTTTTCAAACTTTCAGCACGGTTTCAATATTATATATTTGTGCTCGCAAACTAATTCGAGGTGGTTTTTATCTTCATAAACTAGAGATATCATCAGAATTATACAGCAGATAAAATGACATGGACTTTATATTTTGGTTAACATAAGAGATAAGTTATGATAGATAAGTTAGATAAGTTCTGCAAAGTGTGTTTTCAGAAATAAATTCGTTTATGCTTCAAATCATTCAAAAGCCAAAACAAATGAAGGGGAACATTCTCCTGTTTTCCATGTAAAATAAATTAATTTAAAAAAAGTAATCACTCGAGATTTTTGGAAATAATCCTCGTACCTTCATCATCGTAAGCTCCATCAGCAGGCAAATCCTGAGGTCTACCAGCCACCAACACCATCAGGCAGCAGATCACCACAGCCAGGAAAACCTGCAAAAAAATTTACAGAACAGTTCTTTGAAACACATATTCCACTATTGCAGAATTAAAAGAAAAACTCACCAGAAGCGAAATCTTGGCCATTTTCACACCTTAAAAATTTTTTCTTCTTCTTTCTCAACTTGGTCAACCACTCGACTCGAGTCTGCAGTGAACACTGAACACACTGGTCCACAAATCAGCTCATCTAAGTCTCCTCATATGTGTCGACGAGGAGGGGAAAAGTAGAGCTTGAATGACGAAGATGAAAGAAAGAAACGATGGACAGAGAAAAATAGACACACGATTGAAAAGAGAAGAAATGCACACACGAAGGAACGCGCTGAAGAGCGAAGCAATACACAGAAAACACTGATGGGTGAATATATAAGTATATATATGTGAGAGCTATATAGAAAAATAAAGGTGTTGTTCCACTTTCTCTTGCACCAAAAAATTTACGGATATAAAAAAAGAAAAATAACGATGTGTTCGTGCTTGAGTTTCCCGCAAGCAAAAAGTTTCTCTCTCTCAATTTTTCTTTTCTTTTTTTTTCTACCCCAAAGCCTCTCTTCAATTTTCACCATTGAAACTCTCTGATGGCAAGGAAGAGAAAGACTCCATGGAGAAAGTTTCCCGTTCATGGCAATGATAAATACTTTATGCCTCAGGGCAAAATTTATCAATTTCACTTCACAGAAAGCAAACATGTTGCTGTTACTCTCCAATAACTAATCACCAATGGCATATCACCTTTCAACCACCGAATACGTTTATGTAAATTTAGTCTCATGAGTATGGCACACAAAAACGCAAAAAAGAGACACAGTATTTTCAAAATTTTTAAAGCATATGAAATGGAAAATTCGAAAATTAAAATAAGGAATGAAACATTTGTAATTGAGAGGAGCGTTTATTTAAAATTTTAAAAATTAAAGAGAGCGCCTTATAGTCATATATACAAAAAATTATAATAACCCTGAATATCAATTCAGAGTTTTGCACTATTTCATTATAGGATCACAATCAAAACACTGTTGGTGGAAACTGATGAAATGTCATATGTCAAAAGCTCTTCTTCAGAGTTTGACAAAGAAGGAGTTTAACCCTTGTGCAGCAAAGTTGGGATATTTTTGCAAAATGTTGTCCCCATGAGGGCTGCAAATGAAAAACAACTTGATTTTGAACAAAGGCCCAAGTTGGAAAAAAGTCTGGTATTTTTTTTATAATCCAGCCAGGAATTTTGGCTTTAAAAAAAGCCCTTCCTGGGTGGAGTTTTTTCATGCATTCACAGCATAGGGTTAACAATGGGGGATTTCATGAGACAATGGGATTTCCTGTACACAGATTTTCCCCAACTTAGGCTTATGAAATCTAGGGGCATTTCTCAGACCTTTGATCAAACTGGAACAGCCTAAGAATCATTCTTATGAAGGTAATTGATTCTGAGCTGACCAGAAAAGGGAACATTTTTGGAAAAAGCTGAAAACTTATTTTGTGGGTTTCTGTAGCAGCAGAGAAGAAGTTTTCACAGAAGCTTTTTTTTATCAGGATAACTTTTCTTGGCCAACCAATTTCAAGTAATACAGAATACTGTATTCCATTTCAAATACAGTCAACCCTTGGTTAACATTCCATTTGCTGAACGTTTTTTCACTTAACGTTCCTGGTCCTGTGAGAAAAATCCCCTTGCTTAACGTTCTGAAATCAACTTAACATTCTGCAGTTGTGCAGCACTGGGTGATCAATGTGGATGCCTCCCTCCCTCCCTCCTGTACATTTTCTTGACTGTGACTTTTTCCACAGCTTTAACTGTGTTTCCTGATGTGTGGTGGTGTGGTGTTACAATTATTTTATGAACAATTGCAGTGTCACACACTGAATTTTGGGTAACACTTAGACCTTTCCTCGTTCAAAATGAATCTCTGATTTTAATCGAGTGAAGAACTGTGGTTACTTTTTGAATTTAATGGCAGTGCATAAAGCTCAGTTGTTTGAATACACTCTGTGATTAATTCTTGTCTGAATTTTGCCTTTAGAAAATTTTGCCTGACACCAATTAAATGTTTCTCCCTTATATCTTAAGGGAGAGACTACCTTGCTTAACGTTTTTTTTTAGCTAATGTTTTTTCCCACTGCACCAACTAAAAACATTAAGCGTGGGTTGACTGTAATCAGAGAAAAAGAGGAAATTCATGGCAAGTAGTTCTGAACTGATGAAAAACATTTGGTTCTGAACTGTTCTGATCTGAAATTCAAGAAAGTATTGTAGTTTTGGTGATTTATTCATAATTTGTCTGGATGTTTCAATAAGCAACAGAAGGTGAAAGATTTCCAGAGAAACTGTTTTCATCAGTAGAAAACACTCCCTCAAAAGCCTCAATTTGTAATGTCTATTGAGTTGTGTGATATTTTATTTAAAATCACCAAGGAGAATTGAAGGGAAATGTTGGTAAAAGTTCCAGAAGCATTGATAAATATTTGTTCTGAGCTGTGAGTATAAAAGATAAAATTTTTTTAAATATTTAATTCATGTAATAACTATTCTCTCAGAGTTTTAAGCAGCAGCAGAGAAGAACTTTCCAGGAAAGCTCTCTTGATCAGAACACCTTTCTTGACCAACCAGAGTCACAGACCTGGTCAAGGACTCAATCAGCTTGTTTCTGGTTGACAAAGTTAATGTCTGCTTCCAGACTTTGTTCAAATAGTTTCTGACCCCATCAGGTTCAGTGAAACAAGGTTCTTCGACTAATTTTCCAGCTTTCCTTTCAGACAATTTCATTTTGGCGGGATCAGCAGTGAACACCAATAACTGCGAACCGTCCCCAAGGTCTTGAGACGCGAGTTGAAAAAGCAAATGGCGCGCAGATTTCTCTCGCAAATTCTCCAATCCTTCCAAAATGGCGACTGAGTTGATGGAGAAGGTCTTGGTTAGTGTAAAGTCCAGGCGTAGGAGTTGCAAATCATCCGGTTCATCGGTGATTTGGATCTTGGCTGGAGACTCCGGGTCTGCCAATAAATTGGCCTTTTCTTTGGCTAGCTTTTGAGCCAGTTCTTCACATACTGGCTTCAGTTTGGAGTCCAGTGGGATGATGAGTTCAGATGTTGATGGGGATGCTGCCTGAAAATTTCAGGAAATGTTGGCAGATATATTTACTATCATTGATGAAATAATTTGTTCAAGATCGAGTTATCCCAGCTGTGAACTTTTGAATTGATATTATTAATCCTGTGTAATTTGTCTCTTATAGTTAAAAAGATTATTATTTAAAGTTTAAAATGCGAATGCTTTCAACAATTTTACCAAAGCAATAATATGTGAAAGTGAAAAACCCTGGAGCACATTCTGTTCATATTCATGCTTGGACACAGATTTTTGGTAGCTTTTCACATTCTTGTACTTTCACTGAAATATACTGCGCAATGCTCCAGATAGTCCTGAAGCCATGATGCTGAGTCACGCTGCTGGATGTGTGTATGAATAAAATGTCACTTTCGAAATGTTTTTGATAGCAACGAAGATTTTTTAAAAAGTAACTTTAAATATACTGTTGAAGGAAAAACGAATTTTTTAAAAATTTGGATTTTATTAATTTTCTTATTTTGCGGAAATTTCAATACAGTTTTCATATACAGTGCATTTAATTTGATTCAATACGCATTTATTTTTCTAAAAGCCATTGAGACATGGAAAATATCTTATAGTTCAAAAATTGCTCCCTTTTGGGACTTGGCAATTGGATGATGTTATTCTGGCTTTGTTGTTTTTACACATACCCTAAAAGTCATTAAAAACAATAGTTTGTGTATTATTAGTTAAAACATTTCTTGTAGTAACAATCCAAGATTTCCAAAAATAGAATATCATCATAACAACAATATTCATTCCTGAGAAAGACTTTGTTATTGTGGCTATTATAAATTATAATACAGCAAAATCTCTGTACAAAAAGTACCATGACAACAAAATTTTCAGTATAACAAACATTTTTCCAAGTCCCATCAGACATCCTATATAGGGTACATGTTAAAAAATTCCTTTACAACAAACTTGCCAATTCCAGTACAACAAACTTTTTTGGGGAACACATTATGACTTCTTAATGAAAAAACCTCTGATAAAGACAGTCGAAGTCTCACATTTCCCATTGAAAATGTGACTGTGACTGGTTTTTGGAACATTGGGTGAATTTGGGTGAATTTGTAAGACTTTTTGTCCTTGAATCCAATTCGGATTCAAGGACAAAAAGTCTTACAAATTCACCCAAACACCGTTTCTTTCAAAGATTGTTCCTATTGTTAGGAATTGGATGAAAAATTCCTCATCATGGTGAAAAGGCAGTTGGATGAAAAAAATGAACCATTCAAGGACAAAAAGTCTTACAAATTCACCCAAACACCGTTTCTTTCAAAGATTGTTCCTATTGTTAGGAATTGGATGAAAAATTCCTCATCATGGTGAAAAGGCAGTTGGATGAAAAAAATGAACCCAGCAAAATTAATGTTCAAATGAGTTTGTATGCTTGAGAAACCCTAGATATAGTGATCCAACAATTGTAATCAATTTTGAAACATTCACCCTTGCAAATCTTTGAAGGAGCTGCTTATATAAAAATGAAATAGTCAAGAAAAATTGCTAGTGTTATTTACTTTTTATTCAGAATACTGTACATGTTTTTCATCATGAATAAAATCCATCTTAGAAGATCCCAGTTTTTTAAACATCTGAAAAGAACACAAAAAGAAGATATTAAATATATTCAGGTCTAATTGGAAGAAAATATTCCTATCACTCAATAATTTTCAAAATCTCATTATCATTGGAAGAAAATTTTTTCTGAAGTCACCAAAAGTTTTTTGTTACAAGATTTTATTGTAATAAAATGAAATTATTTCTTACAGATGAGTTTGTTGTAATGCAACCCAATTGGATGAATTTCTCCTTTCCACTGACAAAATCATCCATTCTTTGCCTTGCTTTTTTGTGCTTTGAAGTTCACTCTCTGCATTTAAGCGATCAATATGGACTATTTTTCTACTAGGAGAGTTTTTTGGTGAAACTTTGAATACGTTTTTGAATTTAAAACTTCCCATCATGGATGCGATGAAAGTCTGCATGAATTGAATCATTTGCGTGTTATTTTTTGCTGTTGCTGGATTCATCACTTGCATGTTTAAATACTGGATGAATAATACACACCGTGAGATGTTTCATCCAGATGTCGCTTGCAACGGGGTCCACAAACCTCAGACGCCTCTGATCACCCAGTCCAAAGAAATCGGCCCAACCAGACACAGAGTCAAACAACCGGAACTGGTTCAACCCAGACCCAACCGGAAGCACAACTGGGTTAATCACCCTGTGCAACATTTTGCGGATCCGGAAATCCACGCCAATATCCGGTAAAAGGCGATTTTCAACCCTTCTGATCCCAACTTTGGTTCCAGTCTGACCAGAAATGAATGAATGCGCAGTTTCATTCAATGAGTTGAGCTTCATGCCAAATATGCAATTGCATTTCTTCCTTGTGTTCTCAGGAGGGGGTGGTGGGGGAACTTCAGTTTCAGGTTCTGGTTGGTCTTCTGGTGGTGGTGGTGGTGGTGGACTTGAGGTGAAGAGAGTTGCACAGGGATCATCAGGGTCATCAGTGCTGCTGGATGAGTCTGTTCTTTGCTGACAAGAAATTGGGGATACCCATTTCCTGTCACCTTCTGGTGATGCTGGGGGTTCGCTTGGACCCCAAATCAACTCCTGTGATGGAAGAAAAAACAGTTTTAATGGAATTTTTCTTGGTGTGAAAAAATAACATGATGCTATATATAAGAGGGCTAACAAACTCATGCTAAGCAGCAAGTCTTTGCACTTTCTTGTAGGGCATTATATGAATGAACAGAACACTTCATTTGCTGCTTTTCAGAGTTCACAAGGTACAATCAAGATTTCCACATCCAAACACCTTCCCCACACAACCCGAATCCCCTCAAAGACATTTGATCACTTCAAAGCAGGTAACAAAGCACAAATTGATGACAAAATAAAAGAAAATACAATCCACAAAATAAAACTGGACATCTGACATGTATATGCATACACCCACTCATTTCCAGCTGACATTGAATATAAAGTAGCAGTAAAAGTTTATTTAAAGCACAAGGTCATCAGTTTTTTTCTGTATGAGGTTTAGTTGAATGAACAATTTAGAGAGAATCTTTGATGAGAAATCATATAAGGCAAACAGTTTATCTTGATCCTTTAAGATTTCAGAGAGTATCTCTTCATTGAATTTCAGTACTTTTCAGGGCATTATATTGCATGCATTTCAATTAATGAGGTGAAATGAAAATTTTTTTTCACCCCAATTCAAAGCTTTGGAATTCAGAAAGGGAAAAGTTGACATCCTGAAATGTTGACTTATATAATGCATATTGTGAATTACAGTCGGACCACAATAAGATAAGGAAGCCTCAACACATGAACAAATAAACTTATATACACCCTTAAAGAAAAAAATACTTCCCTAAAACTCTGGGCAATGTATTCAGGTATATATTCAGAACCTGACAAACTTTCTAGAAGAGAAATTATCCGTTTTGATTTGTAAAATTTTGAAATCTCTTGAACCCAGCAATCAGTTATGTTCAAAAAATAAAAGTAACTTCAATTCAAAATCTAAAACAGCATAATTTTGTGCTTCTCTTTTTAGGGGTTTACCCACCATTTATGTACAGTATAGCAATGCATGAGCCTGTTATTTGCCTTTTTGGCTCCTTTTCCATACCAGAAAGGGCAGATTTGTGCATGATTTCCTTGTGTATTTATTTTCTGCATCTTGTAGTAAAATTAAATATCAATTTCCCTGTTTTTTGAATGTATTGAAAACAGGAGAAAAAATTTAATATGATTCCATTAAAGTCCATGGAAAAAATGATCAAACATGCAACCATGCTCAGACATTGGGTCAAAATCCAAGAGAGATTTTTTTATCCCCATCATCATGGGGCCACATGAAAGATTTCAAGGTAAATAAAGGATTTTTGTGATATGGTGGAAGAATTACATGTGTCTCCACTGATAATACAGTACAGTAATTCTGTTAGACTAGGACTACTTAATCCTATGATTCCTATCTAAATCTATACCTTTATGAAGTTGATGATCTTCCTTGCAGTACACGCAAATGGAATAACAGAAACAGGTTCTTGTTGCCCATCAGGACCAGTTGTGGTCCCACAACCACAAGTCAATGAGGCAATTATCCCCAGTACAAGTAGAATCAGGAAAAGTCTCAGAAAGTGCATCAGAAGATTTGTCAAATAGTATTTCCATTTTTCAACGAATCCCGGAGATCTGCACAATTCTTCAGAAGTCCATCGTGATTTCCTGTATCCACAGCAATCCGACACTGGAAATATGTTCGGGGAAAAAACCATTATGATTGTTTCCCTGTGATTTTCCTTTCAAAATTCTCGCCACTGGGAAAGTCTCTCAGGCGAGAACAATTTATCATGGTCCATCAATCCACCATTTCTTCCTGTTCTCAACAATCTCTTCCTAATTTCATTTCTGAGTTACTGTACTATGAAAGTACAGTCAACCCCCGTCTAATGGACTTGATTCGTGCAAGGGACAAGTCTGTTAGATGAAAAGTCCTTTACACAAATTCAATTACATAAAAAATTAAAAATTTCAATTTTCAACACATAATTTTAAACCAAAATAAGTCTATTTGGCGGATTTTGTCTGTTGGGCGGGAGGAAAAACTGCTTGCAGAGCTGGTCTGTTTGGCGAAAATCCCTTACATGGGAGGTCTGTTAGGCGGGGGGCCACTGTACTGTAATAAGCCTTGAATTTGTTTTTTATGCTACAAACAAATGCTTAGATGATGAAATGGACAAGATTAATCTTGGAAACATATTTAAAACTGTCAATAGCTGACCAGTGATGGTAGCAGCTCCTCCAGGTCTGAGTTTCAAAGCAAGATCTGCAAGATCCATTCCACCAAATTCTGAACTGCAAGTGCTTTTAATTTTCAGCAAGGATTTCAGTGACAGTTCTGGTTTGTCCCCTGGACAAGGATTTTTTGGTGGCTCCACAGTCCAACTATAGTTCCTCTGTCCAGTTGGATCAATCACCTAAAGACAAATCGGCTCTTATTCAAAATAAGCATTCATCAAGAGACAACAAATTCATTTGATCTCACACAAAAGGTTACCAAAGCTTTCCCAAAAATGGGAAACACAACATCATTTGAATATCCTGAGGGGAAAGGAAGCAAGGGATGTTTGATCTGCTTCTTATGTGTAACCATCTTCTCTGGAACCATTGCAGTTTTCAGACTTTTTGGCACTGATCCAGTCACAGCAGCATAAGCAACATCCCAGACATAACCCAGAGATGTTGACAAGATCTCAGCCACTGAGGCCAGTGCCAAAAGGAAACCATAAGTGAGCAAAGCCACTTGTGAAAGCACCACATGTGGAATCCATCCAAGTTCCTTCAAGCTTTTCCTGATCTCAGTTTTAGCCTCTCTGACTTGCTTTCTGAGGCAAGGGGTGAAAGATGAATGTAATAAGCTTGAAAAGAAGTAAAATACATAGCTGATGGCCCAGACAATGGTGTAAGCAAAAAGTGCTGTTAAAGCAGCCAAAAGACAAATTGTTGGAGTGTTTCCAGGGTCTTCGTAGTTGCAGAGTCTGCGCTGGAATCTCTTGATCCATTGAAGCAAGAAAAATGACCTCCTTTGTACAGGATTGGCATTGCAATGATGTTTTCCTTTTGCTAATGTTGTTCCTGTAAGAGGACGGTCTTCTGGGGCGCAGAAATTTTCAGCCTCATCATCTTCTTCTTCTGGCTCAACTATTTGAGTTTGTTCCAGGGATAGATTTTCGCAGTAAGATGGAGGAGGACATGGTGGCACTTTTGGGTTGAGGTAACCTGGGGCTGGTGCTATTTTAGGTACATTTGGACTTGGGTTGGCCTCAGGTTGGGTGTCTGCTGGGCTGGTGGCAGACTCAGACATAGTTGAAAATTTTAGTCATGAGGTTAAGTTATTGTGAAGGGAAAGTAGAGAAAGGATAACCTTTCAAGGTTTCTTCCTACAGATACATGTGAATTGAGAGGAAAACTGTTTTGAGAAGATGTTTTTCTCATGCTGTAAAAGATGGATGTGTGATGTGGACCATGTGGTAGACCTTTAGTCTATGTTGGGGACTGAGGCCTGTAAATAACTGTACCAATAAACTGACCTGTCTCCCTTAAACTTTATTGCAGGGCTTCTATAGCCTCAGAGCACCAAAGAACTTGCCCCCAGAAACCTTCAAAACTTGTCCAACAATGCTGTACATTGTCTGATATTTTACCCTTCTTATAGACTATCAGAAAGCAGCAAAGAATCCTAATCATCACCAAGAACGCATTTAACACAAGCCTTCCTCAGTAATGCATAATAAAAACCTCAAAAGCTTAAAACCAACAGAACATTCTCATTCAGAATCTCATCACCATTCTCAGCTTCCACCACTTGAAATACAGTACTTCTGGAAGAAATTGTGTGAATTATTTTGTGTCTGTGCTTTTCTTGTAGAATATGCTGAGTTGTTGATTCTTCTGGGACATAAATAAATATTAATTTCTTGAAGCCTCAGCAAGTCCCTGGCTGATTGTGGTGTTCAACTCATAATTTCTCTTTGTTTGGTAAATCCCTAACAGTCTAGACCTGCATTACCACAATCCAATAAATCTAAAAATATAATGTAAAACAGAATGTATGCTGTGCTTCAATAAAGGTTTTTCAAATCATCATTCAATGCTGCTATAGCCTATGTGCAAAAAAAAACACAAGTCAGTATCACATTTTTTATNTTCATCGGAAGGAAAATTCTAATTTTCTTTCCTTGTCTGAAAGCAGTGTAAAAAATCTCTTTCTGACAAAAATGGTAGCAGAGCGTGGTTAATCTAACAAAAGTTCTAGTTTTCTCAGCGCTGAGTGTGAAAACTTCCATTTCATTCCTTAAAGTCAAAGAACTTATCCCTTCAAACCAAGTGTATTATACAGTCCAACCTCCATAAGTCGAACCTCCCTAAGTCAAAAACCCCCCTAACTCGAATTTTTTTCCAGTCCCCTTCCAATCCCTTAGAGAATAATGTAAAAAAAAACCTCCCTAACTCGAAGCAATTCCTGGGAAACCTCCCTAAGTTGAATTTTTTTTGTGGACACCAGGCAGAACCAGAAATTTTTTTATTGCGGGCGTTTTTTGGGGAGGATAGCTGCTTTTATTTGAAATACAGTCCAACCTCCATAAGTCGAACCTCCCTAAGTCGAAAACCCCCCTAACTCGAATTTTTTTCCAGTCCCCTTCCAATCCCTTAGAGAATAATGTAAAAAAAACCTCCCTAACTCGAAGCAATTCCTGGGAAACCTCCCTAAGTCGAATTTTTTTTGTGGACACCAGGCAGAACCGGAAATTTTTTTATTGCGGGCGTTTTTTGGGGAGGATAGCTGCTTTTATTTGATGCGGCATCCTCCCCATTTATGGAACAAAGAGACACTGTTTCCGGGCGGGCCCGCGGCCCAGTAAAATGTTGACGTCGTTAATGGGAGACTTTTTTCCTGTAGAAAATTTTTTGCCAATTTTTACGTTTGTAACGACAAAACATGAGTTTCATGTGTCGTGGGGTTTCTACATTAGTCTTGAAAAAGAAACACCAGAGAAACAATCTGTGTTTTGTGGCTCTTCAACCAAGTGAAAAAATATCCTGTTGAAATTTCAATTCTGTTTTAAAAAAAACTGTCTTAATTTTCCCCCATATCCTTTTTCTTTTGTCAGAATAAGCCATCTTTGAATCTGTGAAAGTGGTCTACAATGTCAAGCAAAGGGCGTAAGCTGAAAACAATGTCCATCAAAGAAAAAGTAACCATTATTAGAGCTGTGGAAAAAGGATCCAAAAAAAAAGTGGAAATTGCTAAAGAATTTGGAATTCCCACAAGCACACTCTCAACTTTTCTCAAAGAGAAGGATAAAATACTGAAGCTGTATAATGAGAAGTCAAGTGGTCATCAAAAGAGGATAAAGGAATGTGAAAATCCTAGCATTGAACAATGCATTTTAAAGTGGTTCAAGCAAGCAAGGGATCATAAAATCCCTATTGATGGGAAGATTTTGCAAGCAAAAGCAGAAGAATTTTCAAAAGAGTTGGGCTTCACTGAATTTAAAGCCAGCAATGGTTGGCTAGACAAATTCAAGAAAAGGCATGGACTTGTATTCAATAAGTTATGTGGTGAAAGTGCTCAAGTGCAAAAAGAAGACTGCAATCAGTGGATTGGGAAATTGACAGAAATCATCAAAAATTACAGTCCAAATGACATCTTCAATGCAGATGAAACTGGATTGTTTTTTAAATGCACTCCTGACAAAACTATGGCTTTCAAAGGGGAACCTTGCCATGGTGGGAAAAGAAGTAAGGAACGTGTGACTCTTCTTCTGGGTGCAAACATGAGTGGGTCAGAGAAACTGCCTGCATTGCTGATAGGAAAATCAATGAAACCAAGATGCTTTAAAAATGTGAAGTCATTGCCAATTTTTTATAAGGCTAACAAGAAGGCTTGGATGACAACAGAGTTGTTTGGTCAGTGGCTGAAGAAAGTGGATGCAGTGATGAGCAGGAAGAAGAGAAACATTATTCTTTTCATAGACAATTGCACAGCACATAACCAAATCCCTAACATGAAATCAGTGACAATCAAGTTTTTGCCACCCAACACAACATCTATGCTGCAACCCCTGGACCAGGGCATAATCAACAATTTCAAGCTGAGATACAGAAGACTTGTTGTGAAAAAATTATTGAGGGATATAGAAGAAAAGTGCCCACTTGGAATTGACCTGCTTGAGGCAATGCGTATGGCAAGGAGAGCCTGGGATGAAGTCCCCCCAGAAACAATAAAAAATTGCTTTAGAAAAGCTGGTTTTGTCCATAGAAATGAAGATGACACTGCTGAGAATTTAGAAGAAATTCCAATGGAAACCAACAAAGAATTTGAATGCCCTCAAGAATGGTCCACAATTTTAACAGCAACTGGGGCTAATCAGGAAGTTTCTTTCCAAGAATTTCTGGATATTGACTCTAATGTGAATATCTGTGGAGAACTAACAGATGCTGACATTCTTGCTCAAGTGGGACATGAGGAACAAGCAGAAAATGAGAGTGGGGATGAGGATGAAAACAATATCCACATTTTACCAGTTCCTAGTAGAAAAGAGGCAAGAAAGGCAGTTGACATCCTGCAGAGATTCTTGGAGTCAAAGCCAAATCTGGAAGGAAAGGTATTCAGGGCCATTGGAGAGATACAGAAGATAGTTGAGAATGACACATCTGCACATCATCAAACAAAGTTGACAGACTTTTTTACCCAAGGTGAGCTTTTTACAGGAGACAAACTTCAGGAGAAGGAATTTAAATTTTTTTTTTCAAATGCAGGGATTTCAGAACAAACAGCTGAGGAAAAGCAGCAGCTGGAGGAAGTGGACATGCAGAGAGAGAGTGATTGTGGTGAAATTATCAAGATCAAGAAAACTTGAATAAATTGATGAAAGTTCAACTGCTGAAGGAACACTGCTTTTTTTAATCATGAGCACAAGACAAAATTCTACTCAGGAAAATTATACCTAGAGTATAAAGTAGGATATCTGCTAAGAAAATTTTTCCACAAATATTCACTGTCCAATTTCAATAAATCTTCCAGAACACATCTCATCCATCACCAAGATACAAGACAGACTGATGATAAATCATAAATATCTGCAGTATTTATCCTATTATTCATTTCAATGGAATTCCTCCATGGCCTCAAGGGTTTTCCTTCTGCATGGGAGAAAGTGAAAGAAATAATCTCCCTTCTCCTTCAAAACATTGAATAACCCCTTCTTTCCTGTGCACCTTCCTAATCTCTAATCCCTAATCCTTGGGGAGAATAAAGAGTCTCAAATTAAACCTCACTTTACTTTCTTACAGGAAGATTGGAACGAAACTGAGGTCATATATACGAGATTATATATATACCCTAGTTAAATCCGGGAGAGGGTCACAACATCGTAAAAGCCCAAAAACCTCCCTAAGTCGAAACCTCCCTAAGTCGAATTTTTTTCATGGTCCCTTGAAATTCGACTTAGAGAGGTTCAACTGTATTCAAATTTCATGTGTATCAAATTTTCTGGTGTAACCAAGTGTATTATATTCAAATTTTGTGTGTATCAAATTTTCTGGTGTAACCAAGTGTATTATATTCAAATTTCATGTGTATCAAATTTTCTGGTGTAACCAAGTGTATTATATTCAAAATTCCGTGTTTATCAAATTTTTTGGTGTAACTGAGTGTATCCCATTTTGAATTTCGGGTGAATTGAATTTCTCGAATTTTTAAACTTCGTGTGGATGAAATTCTTTAGTGGATATAAGTCTATCTTAACAATCTTCAAACTCTCCGGTGTATCTAAGTGTATTTAAACTTCGTGTGGATCAAATTCTTTAGTGGATATAAGTCTATCTTAACAATCTTCAAACTCTCCGGTGTATCTAAGTGTATTTAAATTTCGTGTGAATCAAACTCTTTGGTGTTTTCTGTGCATATCATATTTACATCTCATGCAAATTTTGAAAACTCGGGTTTTTTGTAGCAAGGAGGTTGTCTAAAAAAGGTTTTGTATATTTGGCATACTTGATTCGAAAAACTTGTTCTAATCATTTTTTGATCTAACTTCTCTCTGAAACCTCGAGTAAAAGGAAAAACTTTAAAGAATTATGCCGAGAGGTCGAGGCCGCCCTTCCCTCAAAGAAAAGGGAGAACGCGGCAGAAATCCTGCCAGAAAACCTTTATCCGTTTCAAATAACATTCTTCCAACAACTCCAATCCAAAGATCTGTCTCGAGATCTCAGTCAAGTCGAGCCACAACTAGAATGACTCCTCTTTTTTCCCCTCTTACCTCTCTAACCTCAAAACTATATCTTATAGTCAGAGCAGTA